ACAATATGAGTGTCATTTCCTACCAAAATTAGTGAAATTGGTGTCCCGGACTCGTTGACGCAGTCCAATTTGTCATCGGGGGTCATCTGGAGAAGTTCGCAATTTCACCCATCTTTAGGCTCAGTTGAAGTCCGACCTCGTGCAATTCATTGAATTTTGTGCATTTTGTGTGTGTATGTGGCGAAAAAGTCGTGACGATGTTTTCCTAGAGCTTGAAATCTTATTGGGAGCTTCTCCCTGAGTCTTCACATAGTAGCCATTAACCGCTCGTACATAAGACGATGGTCCTGGGCCATAAATGTTAGACATCACAAGAGAATCAAAAGTGTCTGAAATTTCTAAAATGGGTGGGCCCCAATTCTAGTTTTCTAAGATGGTCAATAGGAACTCCTAAAGCTAGATCCTAAGACCCTAAAAAAAGAAATGACCTAAAAAATGAGGTCAACAATGAGGAATATACATCTTTTCAAAATTAAAAAAGGGGCAATTACATAAAGAGGACCATAAATATTGCTATTTACAAATCAAGCGCCCTTGCTCATCGAAGTTTCAAATTCTCACTCAAATATCAAAATTCATGATAAAAATCTAACCCATATTTTTCATTTTTGTCAAATTTTGGGTGCTTGATGTGTAAATATCAATTTTTCGGGTACTCTATATGTAATTATCCCAATAACCAAATATTAAAAATAAACATGGGAAAAAAAAGATGGGCAAGAGTGATGCGAGGCTTGGAAGGCGGGACATAAAATCCTGGAAGCTTGATAAGGGTTATGGGAGGCTGGCTAAACCGGCTTGGGGAGGGTTTGGTCCAACCTCCTGCTAAACTGGCCAAAACCTTCTTAGAGTTGAGATTTGTCGTTCACGCCCCACCTTCCTCTCCTTTCATGATTCTCGCCTTCCTTCCCTTTCTTAAAGCTAGAAGTTGTCGTTTACGCCCCACCTGCATTTCCTTTCCCGATTACGGCCAACTGGGAGTCAGGATTTGCCGCCCACCGATTTCTTTTTTATTCTTTTTTTCTATTTCCCACCTGCTTGGAGTCTATTTATATGCATGTTTCCTAATTTTAGGGTAGATAATTGTGTCTTTCTTTCAGATTTTTGTTAGAACAACAGCCGACGTCATCCCCTTCTCGTGCTATACCCCTCGCCCGAGGTGGTGATTATTTTTCCCTTTTCCCTTCCGCAGCCACCCACATCGCTCCCCTGTCACCGTACCTTGCTGCAACCATCGCAAACAGCCCTTAGGTGGAAGTTTTATATGATTCTCTGTCTACCAGTCACCTTCCCCTCCCTTCTAGCATTGCTGCCACCAAAACCGCAGCTCGCCACTGTTGTCCCAGCCTTTGCACTGTGATGCTTCTGCCTAGGACGGCCAGGAAACACCTTCACCCTGCTGTCCCATCGCTATCCACCCCCACTCTTAGTTGCTATCACCCAAGACAACCTCCATACTTGTTCTCTCTGCATTTATGCACTTTTCCCTCGCTGTCATTAGCCTTCCATTATTTTTGTCACCCCCGCTAACCATCCCAATCCACCCAGCCGACCTCCACCACCCTGGGATACACTTTTAGGATGCTTGCTTGTGTTGCTTTATGTTTCTTATCATTTTTTCCTGTTTGAAGAGTCTTCGTTTTAAACCTATTTGAATTCAACAATAATATTTTTATTTCTATTGTGTTTGAGGTTAACTCTGGTATTAATTAGTATCAGAGCTAGCCTAACCATAATTCTCATAGGGTCTCGTAGCATCCGCCATAAATAAAAATTTTCTTTCATACCACCAATACACTTTCCACTTCCACAATTCCCAAACTCTAACCATTCCACCTAAAAGATACACGTCGGAGTCTACCGAGGAAGAGATGCAGTGAGAGATCCACAGACTTCAGCGGTGATTGATGGACATTGAGGATGACACCCCGGAGAGACATACTCTCAATAGTGACAAGAAAAGTCTAAGAGGCGAAAGGGACAAAAATTTCAACCCCTTCCATAGAGAGGATGTCAATGATGAAGAGGAAAGCCACGACATTTCGGAGTCCTGTGTCAAAGGAGGCCTAAAGAGGAGACATAAGTTGGAGGACACAGAGACTACGGAATCAAGGTAGCTTTATCAGAATTTGAGGGAGAAATGGATAAAAAAGAATTTATTGATTGACTGCAATCTGTTGAACAAATTTTCAAGTATAAAGATGTGCTAGAAAATAAAAGGGTCAAATTAGCTGATATCAAGTTGAAGAACAGTGCCTCTTTGTGGTGGGAGAACTTATAGGGACAAAGGAAACAGAAGACAACAATAAAATTAACTGGTGGGAGAAGATAAAGAAAACCATATAAAAGAAATACCTCCCACCGCATTACTGTCAGGATATGTTTTTGAGGCTCCATCACCTGCAGCAGAAGGTTTTGTCAGTAGAGGAGTTCACAGCACAATTTGATTAGTTGTAGAAGATGAGTGATTTGGTCAAGCAAGAGGAGCATACTATAGCCCGTTATCTAGAGGGGTCTGAAGCCTGCTATTAGCAACATGGTGTAGTTGTAGTTTTATTCGTCACTTAGAGATATGTCCAGACCTTAGCATTGAAAGTGAAGAAGTAACAGAAACAGAGAAGGCAACCACCACTAGCCAGGCAGCCACACACAGTTGGAGACACACCTCAGGGAGTTGAAAAAGATAGTTTAGATAAGGATAGAGCCATCTCAAGTGAGAAGAAACCTGAGAAGAGTAGCATGCATGATACAGTCCCTGTCAGAAAATGGTTTAAATGACACGGATTTGGGTACATTGCCTTCAACAACTCGACGAACTAAGTTGTGTCTTTTATAGAGTAGAGTGTCGAGGAGGAGGTTAGCGATGAAGAGAACGTTGAGAATATGGGTAAGGTGTACCATCTATCACCAAATGAATAAGAGACACTTGTGGTTCGATGTATCCTACATGTCGAGGATATCAGGGATCCGCAGGGGCTTCTCCACAACAAATTCTACGCCCGTTGCAGGGTGAAAAGAAGGTATGCAGTTTCTTCGTTGATGGGAGGAGCAGTAAGAATGTGACATCTACACAAATGGTAGAAAAAATGAGACTAATGACTCAGAGGCACTCACAATCATATTCTCTAATGTGGATGAAGGAGAATAAAGTCAGCATTGACTGGAGGTGCCTAGCAAAGTTTTTGATCAGGAGCCAGCTACAGAAACGGGTGGGGTGTGACGTAGACCCCATGGATGTCTACCAATTTTTGTTGGGGAGAACATGACAGTTTGACCGGAGGACTCAATACGACAAATTCAAAAACAAATATTCCTTCAACAAAGATGGGAAGCATATCATCCTAAATCCTCCGACAGAGCCCGAGATCACAGAAGTCCTTGCTAGCAGAGCAGCATCGGTGAGACCAGTTTTGGTGCGAAAAGGGATGATGGGATTGAAACACTAGCTCTAGACACAAGACAGACACCACAGAGGGCATTTCATGGTATCAAAAACTGGTATTCTCGATCGTGGATGACATATTTTTGAGGCACTCCGAGTCATATTCTCGACTGTGGATGACCTATGAGAGAGTTCAGGTAAGCCCCACTTCAGATTTAGTTATGTTGATCGCGGATAACCTTGGGAGTATTCAACAACAGAGGTCGGACATGTAGTTCAATTCAGTGCTAAACTCTTAGAAGATTGGACTGATGTGGATGTTTACTCGTAAGTTGGGGAAAGACACTCAGGCACCTTGGAGACAGTGGAGTCGCCAATGGGATCCAAGTGCTGCTAGGATTACAGATGAAGGACCGGAAGCTTTGACGAATGAAGTTGAAGCTCCCCTAGCCCCGAGAAACTGACACAAGGGTTGGGTAGCGAGTTGCGAGCCAGAATCGGGCGACACGGAATCCTAGAAGCGGGACACGGTTATGGGAGGCCGACTAAACTAGCATGAGGAGTGGTCTGCTCCAGCCTCTTATTGGAACGACCTACCTTCTTAGAGTGGGGATTTGCCACTCACGTCTTCCTTCCTCTCCTTTCACGATTCCCGCCTGCCTTTCCTTTCCTGATTCCCGCCTATTTGGACTCTGAGTTTGCCGCCCACTGCTTCCCTTTCTTCCTTCTCTGTTCCCACCTTCTTGGAGTCTATTTATATGCATGTTTGTTAAGTTTAGGGTAGGATATTGTGTGTTTTTCTTTCTGTCAGGATAATCGCTGTTGTACATTTCCCGTTCAAGGGTTGTATTCAAAGATTTTGGTGGTGCTCCAACTGTATGCCTCTCCCGGTATGGTGATTATCTTTCTCCTTTCCCTTTTTGTAGTTTCCCATGTCGCTCCCTGCTCCCGTACCTTGTTGCAGCCACCCGCAACAACCCTCAGGTTGCTTTTTTATGCAGTTCTCCGTCTACCAATCACCTTCCCCTCCCTTCCAACATTGTTGTCGCTCAAACTGTACCTCCTCCTTGCTGTCCTAGCCTTCCCGCTGCCCCGCTGCTACTCAGGACAGCCAGGGAACACCTTCTTCCTGTTGTTCCATTGCTATCCAACCCCACTCTTCACTGTCATCACCTAGGACAGCCTCCATACTTGCTGTCCCTGCATTTCTGCACTTCCCCCTCACTGCCATCAACCTTCCTTTGTTGTTGCCACCCCTGCGAACCATCAAGGTCCACCTAGCCAGCCTCCAATACACGAGAATACACTTTAGGGGTGCTTGCTTGAGTCATTTTAGGTTTGTTATCATTTATTTTCTGTTTGAAGAGTCCTCATTATAACCCTATTTGAATTCAACAAAATAATATTTCTATGTATATTGTGTTTGGGGTTACCTCCGGTAACAAAGAGACTACAAAACTATAAATAATGCTACATAAGGGATTCTCAAACTTAATCTAACCACATTGGTTTCAAATAAACTCAAGTAAAGTTTAATATAACAGAGACCGAAGCCTACAAAAATGGTATTATGGAAGATTAGAAAAGGAGCTTATAATAGTGAGTCGGTGATATTTACCAATATGTAATCCTGACCTCCTTGTGAATTGGGTGTGATTGAAGAAGCACGCCAATCCATTTTACTTGACAGTCCATACGTTGTTACAGAATGGCCAGCATCTGAAACAAGTGTGCTTGGGCTTATGCCTTTGCTTGCAAGATTTTTTGGTTTGCAATCCCTCAACAAAGAATATGCACCTGCACTGAATTGCAAGCCGAGTCAATATTCTCTAAAGGGACCGAGCAATCCATCATCATCACTAGTCATATCCCAATTATTTGGGTTCATCACAGAGCTGCAAACCAAAAATATGGAGTTTCATCATAAAACAAAAAGGCAGATAAAACAGGAAGAGAAAAAGAGGGATTTGGATTGGAACAAAGAGCAAAGAGGGAAGATACACATGAGGGAGATATGAAAAGCTCATTAAATCTTCCATCTATAATGGAAGAGCTCACAGTTTTCTTCATTTATAAGAATTAGAAATGCCTAATAGTCATAAGCATCACTAAGCTCTATCTAAGTTGTAATAGGAATGAACAATATAGAAAGGTAATCCAATAGATCTAGTTGTTTTAGGTGCAATACTTTAAACCAGAGAAAGTTATGAAATATCATTGTAGCCGTCAAACAGTTCTGCTAGGCCTTTTGACTAGAGCAAGAAATGTTCTCTGATCTTCTTCATAGGCTATATATCTCAGCTTTACATTACCTATAATTTCAATATCAAATACAGAAATGTCTTCCAATGATAACACATTTACACGAGATATCATCATTGAAGATTAAATCCTTACTCTTGATAACCTTCCAGTTAGTCCCATTATTTCCCTTTTCCCTTTAAGAAGAAGAGTGAAACAAGACCGTTGATTGCATACAACGGATGGAAACAATCGATCAATGAGAACAACAAAGGAGGAGGAAATATATGATTTTGACTTTTTAAAAATTAAATTTAAGAAAATGAGCAGTTTTGGGAGAAGGAAAATAATAATTCCTCTTCAATTTCTGAAGACTTTGTTACAACATAATAACAGGAGAAGGCCGTCATATTAGGAAAGTCACAACATCCCCATGCTAAAAAAAAAAGAAGTTACCAATAATGGATAATTCTAAATATAGAAACTATTGAAGATAAAAAAAATAATAAAAATAGAAAATATTGAAAAGACAAAAATTCCTAAAATTCCAACAGCCCCATCCCCATCCCCATCCCCATCCCCATCCCTCAACTTGGAGCATAGATATCTATCATGCCCAACTTGCTTACAAGGAACTCAAAACTAGGCTTGAAAAGTCCTTTGGTGAAGATATTTACTATTGGTTGTGTTGTCGGAATGAAAGACATGCAAATAGCTCCACAGTCAATCTTCTCTTTAATGGAGTGTCTATCAATCTCCACATGTTTTGTGAGATCATGTTGCATTGGATTTTCTAAATGCTTAGGTAGGTTTGTGTCACAGTAAAACTTTTGATATCGGAGTGGAAAACCCAAACCGTAAAAAAAAAAACACAAATATTATTATTGAATTTGAAATCGAATACAACTGACTCTTCAAAACATGAAATAAATGACCAACACAAAAACACAAGCCAACACCTCGAAAGTATATCCTAAGGGCGGTGAAGGTTGGCCCAGTAAATCCGGAGCCTTGAGCCAGCAAGGGTGAATGCGAGAGAGGGCTGACAAGGGGTTGGAAGGTGTACTGAAAGAGCGAGGCAGCAGGTTAAGGTGACAGAAGGTTTGTTGGCCGGATGGGCGATAGGTTGAAAGATGGGGTAGTAAGCTTAGAAGGTGGGACAACAATGTAGCTATTGTAGGGGAGCGGTCGGCTACCGGAAGGAGATTGAAAGGGTTGGACAACGGGTTGGTGTAGCAGGAAGGGGGTCAACGGTATAAGGGGAAAAGTCGTTGGGGGTAGCCGGCGACTAAGGAGAGTGGAGTAGGGAAGATACAATCACCATCATAGATTAGGATACGACCAAAGCAACACCACCACCTCCTTGGCTATAACCCATGAAGGGAAAAAGAAAAGGACTCCACATAGAAATTTGAAATCAGCACACAACAAAACTAAACCCTACATCCAGAAAACAACAATTTAAAGATTCACAGTGGAAAAATGGGAAAGGAAAGCTTCCACAAGGTAATCACGGAAAAGGAAGGAGGAGAATGGGATTGGCGGTAATACCGCCCTTCCTAAACGGCCGTTTGATTGAGCAGGACGCAGAAAAGCCATGGGACAAGACGCGGGAGGCAGCTCACCCCGTCAGCATTCTCACCCGAGCCGCTCGGCCCGGGATTTCTCTGGATCAACCTCAATTGGGCCAGTCAATTCACTAGCATAAGTGCCACTTCAACAATCCCGCAACGGGTGAGCCCCGCTCCAGCGTGGTCACGACAAGCCCCACATCACTCTCTCGGGGTTGGGGGAGCTTCAACCTCAGTAAGCTGTGTTCTCATGATACGATGGTAAGTCCTCTGGTAGTTCGATCATGTTAGTCTAGTCATTCCACAACACATTCTGGTAGAGTAAGTAACCATCCTCTTTACTTACTCATCCCGCAATGCAACTCTTGAGCCCTTACATATGAAATCTTCTCCTTCCACTTCCCGTGTCTAACGTGCAATGCTGAGTTATAAGTATGTAAAAAGAACACGATTCTAGGATGAAATCTATGACAAGCTTTGTCACTCTCACTGACACCCCCTTAAGAGAGACATGCCCACAGATAGAATATGGATCCCATTGCAAAATTTTCATCTCCAACAAGCTCCTCAGGCCCAATACACAGTTGGAGTTCATCTCTCCTTTCTGGACATCTGACGAGGTGTCCCCTACTGACCTGAAAGTAACTTTTGAATATCTCCATGTCATGTTCGACCTCCCTCTGTCAGAATAACTTAGGAGAGGTTCTATATATCCAAAAAATCAGCATCTCGATTATTCGTGATGGATTTGTATCTGATGTAGACACATTGAACTAATAATCTGTGTAGAAATCCAAGCTTATTCCTGTTGATGTTGCTCTCACCCTTAGCAGGATGCTAGGTCGAATCATCATAATCTCATGCTCTGCTGGGCTGTCATTACCTCAGAGTCACCACCTTCTAGAGCAGAGACTGTTACCTCTATTAAATCTCTATCTCAGGGTTAACTGGATTTTTGGCGTCTCTTCTTCCCTAGCTGCAAGTGGAGAATCCTCTCAAAAGTCTTCGTCTACTTTTTATCACCATTCATCTCTTCAACTGGAAGCTGGTACTCCCCATTGACGTCCTTACAGTCTTCAATATTTGTGGTATCCTTACCCAATGTTTTAACAACGCCCTGCCAAGTAAAATATATCACTCTCCTGGTTGTGCATTCTACTTCCACATGTCTGAATCCATGGCACTTGCAAAACTTCCTAGCTGTGAAAGCCTTGTGGCTTGTTTTTGTTGAATAGTAGACAGTAGGCCGCTTGGTGATGTGATCTCTCCATTTCTAATGACAGGATATGTAACATTTGACAGTAGTAAGTTAGTAGGAACTAGCACTGTGTTTCTCGCCTCATCTTCAAATCTTCTCGTTCCCCCCATTCAACCATTTGAATGATGGTCGAAAGTAGCCTCCCATTGGATTTCATCTTCAATGTCTGTAATTTTTCGCCGAAGTCGGCGGATCTTTCGCCGTTTCTCCTCCCAAGTAAGCTCGAGCACGTATTTCATTAGTGGCATGGCTAAGTTTAGGGTTGCCAGGTGAAAGATGCTGCATGAAATTAATTGAAGGTGCATAAGACTTGATTTAGGATTGCTGATTTTGAAAATCATTAAAGAGAATTTAGGGTTTGGTTTAGGAGTGGGTGGTTCAGGGTAAGAAAGCAAATTTTCCGGTTGGCGGGGTAAGGCGGACACTTGGGAACCCTAGGACATGTCTGATTGGACTAGCTCTGATACTAAATGGTATATGAAGAGAAAGCCCAAACCACAAAAGAAACAATAATATTATTATTGAATTTGAAATTAGTTACAACTCTTCAAAACATGAAATAAACGACAAACAAACACAAAAACAAAACCAACATCTCAAAAGTGTATCCCAAGGGTAGTGGAGGTTGGTCCGGGGAATTTGGAGGCTTGGGCCAGCAAGGGTGAATGCGGGAGAGAGCCGACAAAGGTTAGAAGGTGAACTGGAGGAGGGAGGCAGCAGGTTAAGGTGGCAGAAAGTTTGTTGGGCGACTGGGAGGTAGGTTAGAAGGTGGGGTAGCAATTTGGGAAGGTGGAACAAAAGCTGGGAAGGTCGGAACAACAAGGTAGCTACTGTAGGGGAGCCGACAGGCTGCTGGAAGGGGGCTGAAAGGCCTGGACAACTGGTTGCTGCAGCAGAAAGGGGCTCGACAGCAAGGGGGGAGCTGTTAGGGGTGGCCGATGGCTAAGGGAAGTGGAAGAGAAGTTAGGAAGATAAAAGGGAAGATACAATCACCACCTCAGAGTAGGATACAACCGGAGCAACACCACCACCTTCTCGGATACAACCAATAAAGGAAAAAAGGACTTCACACAAGAATCTAAAATCAGCACACAACAAACCTAAACCTTGCATTCAGAGAACAACAATTTAAAGACTCGCGAGGGAAAAATAGAAAATGAATGCTCCCATAAGGAAATCATAGAAAATGAAGGAGGGGAAAGGGATTGGCAGCAATGCCTCCCTTCCTAAATGGCCGCTCGATTGAGCGAGGTGTAGAAAAGACACAGGACGGGGCGTGGGAGGGCGCTCCCCCTATCAAGATTCTTGTCCGGGCCCGGAATTCCCCAGGAGCGGCGTCAATTGGGCCGATCGGTTCACTAGCGGGAGTTCCCACTCCTGCAATCCCGCAGCGGGAGAGCCGTGCTCCCCCATGGTCACGACAAGCCCCGCATCAACTTCATTGGCATGCTTATCAGGATCCCCAACTCATCAAGAATTCTCTTTAGGCACAACACCTCACATACTTTATTAGCCATAGCCCGATATTTTACCTTGACACTACTTACCACGACATTATGTTTTTTAGTTCGTCGTGTAAGGAGATTTTACCAGACATAAGTACAATATTCAGATGTCAATCTCCTGTGAACAAGAAAACCAACTCAAGCTGCATCAATGTATGCCTCTATATGCTATCGTGTGGTTTTTTGAAAGAGTAAGCCCTTGCATGGGGTATTTTTCAGATATTTAA